ACTCGAATATAAGGAATTGATAGCAAGTTAATATCTCATTAAGCCCTGTTAGCGAAGTGATTTCGCCATTAATCACATTAACATTGCTATTAAATCTTTGTATAAATTCTTTCTTTATGATATAAAATATAAGTTGCACACTCTAACACACACATAAGGTCGAGATTAAAGTAGTTCCAACTAGAGAAAGGTATATATTTTAAAGAGAATGTAGAAGTCGCAAATGTTTTTGATTAGGATTTATTCATTTATTTAATTTTTAAAAAATATATATTATATTTTATTTTCCACATTTTTTGATGTGTTTAAAATAAAGTATATAAAGTAGGTTATATATTTTTAGAAAGTTAAATAAGTAAATAAAAAAATCCGAATTATAACAGAAAACATTTGCGGCTTCTCTTTTCTCTTTAATATATACATATATATAAAATTTTTAAGCGTATTTTTTCTCATGTTATTTTTGCTCCATTTTATTTCAAGTTTTGGACTAATTTTATGATCGTTAGTCAGCTACGAAAACCGGAAGAAAAGGATAAACTTCCGGTTTCCATATAAATCGTTCTCACAGATTTTAATTGCCTCTTGAGCAATTTTTCCTCAATATGATACAAATAAATTATGTATAATATAGTTTCTATTCTCACTGTCAACAAAACTTGCTTCAGTTCCTGACTGTTAGCAATCATTAGTTTCTTATTTGTGTCATGCTTTTCTAGTGTCAAAAAACTATTGCAATTAATTTATATAATAAAATCATTCGTTATGTATTCTAATTATGGTTTGTCTATATTTCTGAGATGAGGTATTATGTACAGTATTTACATTAGTCGGACTATTGTCCTCATCTTTGTCGCCATATTTGTCACTACGTTTCGGCCGTTGTACGCTCCGGCCTTCTTCAGGTGGTTGGAATCCAGTGACAGACCCAAAGAAGGTGAGTTCAATTCCTGGTTAAGGCAGTGGAGAACTTTCAGAGGGAAAATTAGCAGGAGATAACTGATAACTGACATCCATCAAACATGGCACGTGGAATTAGAACAGTCTACCCCAGCGATCGAAATAAAGGGTTCAGTTCGAAATTCCAACCACCTGAAGAAGGCCGGAGCGTACAACGGCCGAAACGTAGTGACAAATATGGCGACAAAGATGAGGACAATAGTCCGACTAATGTAAATACTGTATTCTAATTATATATGAAATAGGAATGTCATTAAAGCTTTCATTACCTACTGATCACGTGACATGTATTTTCTGTTTGTTTTTAATGTATTCCTATAGAAATAAACTTTTACAAATTTATTTCTCTAAAAGATTCAATAGCAATTTATCTTTATATTAAAAATAGCCTTATTCTGTCATTAACGCTTTTATTGATTCCTGACTAGTAACAGATCCTTTCTCTTTGTTTTTAATGTATTCCTTTAAATTAGATCTTTTTTTTTGTATGGTTTATGTTGTGTATTCCGAGATGAATTCGGTCTCCAATGAATAACAAACGCAAGGATTAAATATAAGAAATAAAATGTATTCACACAATCATACAAAGAGTAATACTGTTAGTAAGTCCAGGAACGCGGTTAGTAGCAAATACAGGTGGATATATAGAGTCTCAAGTAGGACATCCTTAGAGTCTACGTGCTTGTAACTGACTTCTACAAGAGGTATATATATATATATATATATATATATATATATATATATATATATATATATATATATATATATTATTAATCTTTACAGGTCCTTTAAACCCGGAAAATATTTTTAGATTGTAAAAATTTTGAGAAGCTAATAATGAATTACTGACATACGTCCTACTAATTAACATATAGCTGGGGGAAGAAGAGGTGGATCCATCCCTTTATCATGGGTATTTTCTTATGAGTAAATATAACGAACCACACTGGAATTGGAAATCTGCTCTCCGATTTCCAAGCGTTATGCATTACACTACCCGCACCTGTTATTCTTAAACGGTCACCCATCTAGCTACTGACGAAGCTCGATGTTGCTTAACTTCCGTGATCGGAGTTTCAACGTGAAATGGGCGCAAATCGTATTCCTTTAGAAAAATCTAAATGTTTAGTGGGGATCAAGTTTAAAGATGATAGCAGAAACTATGAACGGAGTTGTTTTACAGTGGTGCTTACCCTGAACAAGGCCCGGGGCCCACTCGAGGTAGAGGGTTACAGAGGAAGATGTACAGCTCATGCAGATAGGTGTGGAAGATAACGGTTAACCCTAGACCTGAAGAGTTTAAAATTGTAGTTCTCGGGGATACAACCTCTTAGGAGTCGGTTTCACAAGGCAGTGGTTCGCGGGAAGAGGTTGATCGAGTGGAACTTACATATGAAGGAAAATGAGGGTTGTTCGATGCAATGTCCGTCGCATGGCGCGTCTTAACCGTGAAGGTTAGAGCTGGTGGAACTAAGGGGTGTATTTCATCTGAACATTCACCGTGGAAATAGCGCTGAGAGGCTTGCGTCTCATCTGTAAAAAAAAAAAAAGGTGTTGCAGAGTAGAAAATAATTCGTCGCCTACAATGACGCGGAGACACTTTCGAACTTTATCGAAAGTGGGAAGTGAAGACTGGACTGCCGTTGCCCATATATGGTAGCAGTACTTTAGTTTCTGCCTGATCTGGCTCTTGTAAAGATAGACGACAGCAGGAGGATTGAGGCAATTGCTTGAGCGTTATAGGGAACCGGTCACTTTCCCAGTAGCTTTAGCGACCGATCGTATGTACGAGTTCCGTTTGAGGTCTGGATGCTCAAGGCATGGGGCCTCCCTCAGTTATATTATTATCACACAGTAGAGACTCAGTTCTGAGTAGAAAGTCGGGCAAAGATACTTCAGATGATTCAAGAATAGAATTGAAAGAGAATTTATGTGCAAAACATTTTGCTGTATCCACATTTTATCTCACTGATATAGTAACTAATTAAAAAAAAATTACATGTCGTTCTGATGATGTCAGAGAATTTGGTTAGTTAATCCTGCTTCGTGTCTGTCTAAAATGTTGTCTACATTAAATAGGAGACCATTTGCTTGTTAGAAATGTGGGTTAAAAGAACACATTTATCACAGTTCGTAGCGAAAATATTCGGATTAAAATGAACTCATTTTTTCCCTAAATTTCTCGTCTGGTAAAAAGAAAAAAAAAACAGACAGTAGGCTTTCGTTTATGTTGCTAGAAACTTCTGAAGCATGAAACGAATGCTTTTATTTCAATGTCAAGTTTAAACTAATGGCATGCATTAGCATACTCCGCCCACTTAGTTGCATAATGGAAATAATCTGTCTGAGAAAAAATAGCCCCAATTGTCACACTTTGCGCATGAACTAAAACACTTCTTAAAGTGTGAAATTAACTTAATGCTCTTTAATGTCTTCCAGATTAGGGACACTCTGACATTTTTACCAGATTGGATAAAGGTTGGCTGATTCCAGTTGGAATTGGAACTCGACTCTTCGATTTCCAATTTTTAGCCTTTTATCCATTACACCACCGCGCATTTAACATTATAAGCTTTCAGCACTTGATATTCCTAAGGTGAATTCATACTTTTCCCAATGTTATTTTTGCATAAGTGTTATACTGGAACACACCTATACTATAGTTAATAGACTCTCCCACCTATAATAAGTAGTAATAGTAGTAGTAATAGTCGCTAAGTGGCTCAGGGAGTTGGTCAGTCAGTCGATGTCGGACGACCGTTAGTCGGACATGAAAGTATCAGCCACCACAGCTAGATTGTTGCGTCATTAACTATTATATCAAGTTCTTAACGTTTTGTACGTCGAACCTATTTTAGGACCGACTTAGTGAAATACAAGCCTCTGTGAAACTACTCTACAACAATAAGGAAATATAACGAACCCGATTGGAATCTGAACTCGGCTCATTTTATTCGATGATAACCGTTTACGGGGGCGGCTAGCCAATCCCTATTGCAGACACTTGATCAGGCGCATTTGTGTTTATTCAACACTCACAGAGCCCACCTGTGGTTTATACTGCAACTATGCTGAGCAGACCTTACTTACAGCTTCTGGGAAAGAGCGTGTTATCTAGCGTGATCAAAAATTTGAACAAGGCCACCACGCTCAAGCCCTCGGCTACGATGACTTGTGACTTCATGCTAGCACAGCTATTTACAGTCTACAAGGATTCCGACTACCCAATTTTACTCGTGGTATGGTTTTCAGGCACTTTGCAAAGGTGCCGTACGCTGGGATCGACCCCCACCCCCAGTCCGATAACATCATTAAGTTTCCTTCCTGGCAAGTCAACCATGCGAGATTCGAACCCGGGTTTCATGGTCAGAATGCGAAGGTTCTAACCCCTCGGCTCATTATTTATTATATAACTCGCACATCAAAGCTTCCAGTACCTGGTATTCTCAGTCACCCATCTCGATACTATGCATTGATGTTGCTGAACTTATCAATTTTCTCAAACATTCAGGTCGGTAAAAGTAATTAATACTGTTTAATAAAAAACAGCGCATTTACTTAAATAAATTTTATCCATTAAAATAAGGTATAACAAGAAAATATATTAAATAATTGTCGGACTTAATCCATTTCATAATATGTTATCATTGTTTACGTTAAGATACGTTTCGTGAGCAGATATGATCAACCGAGAAAAATGGTCGAAGATTGTATGTTTAAAAACAGTAATTTAGACTTTGCTAACCAGACGTTTCTCGGTAGTTTAGTGGTAGGGCATGTCAGATCAAATGACGGTTTCCGTATAGGAATACAGGTTCGATTCCTGTCGGAGAATGCATATTTTCTACGACATGTATTGAACGTTTAAACCGATAAATATAATTAATATTGTTTAATTAATAAACAGAGCATTATATATATATATATATATATATATATATATATATATATATATATATATATAAACGTTAAACGGGGGAGTTTGATATGTAAATTGATACCCCCTCACGGAAGCCGAAACAATATATGCTCATAACACGCGCACCGGTGCTCGTACGACCACCGAAGATAAGCATCGTTGAGCCTAGTCAGTACCTAGATGGGTGACCGCTTGGAAATACCAGAGACTGTATGCTCCGATGTGCAGGTGGTGTAACTGATAATGGCTAGGGATTGTTAATCGGAGAGTCGCGTTCAAATTCTAGTCGGATTTGTTATATTCATTTGCGCCCTTGGAAAAAGGAATGAATCCACCGCTTCACGACCCCGCTGTTGTTTGTTTTTTTTTTTTTTATATTCCTAACGGATTATGCGATCCGGTATTTTTTCTTTAATTTTAAGAAGCCACGCCGTTTATTCATATTTGATTCAGTTTCGATAGCTGACAAATGTATTCTACTGACATTTATTTCGGGATAATAACCAGAACACACAAAAATGCTCGAACAAAAATCAAAGAAACAACACGAACTCTAGGCATTTTACGTACAATAACTATTAAAAAAAAACGGAAACACAATAAGAAACATGAAAAACTTTAGACAATATACAACATTAATATATAATTAATTTACATAGAAAGTTGGCTCTCTGTGCCGCGCCAGGAAATTTTTCTCCCCGGAATCGATACTTCAAATATACAAATCAACCATTCACCCTTGCATGGAGTATTGCTGCCATATATGGTCTGGGGCACCTTCTGTTTACTTCGAAGTTCTTGACAAGATCCAGAGACGGATATGTAATATAATTGGCCCTGATCTGGCATCTCGTCTACAGTCACTCTCTCACAGACGCACCGTCGCCTCTCTGTCTTTTCTACAAATACTTTCATGGTAATTGCTCCGATGAGCTGCTTTCACTGGTTCTCAGACTCCATGAATTCAAGTGCCCTACGAGGCTGGCATCCCGCTCTCACCCTTACACTGTAGAAACTTTTAAATGTAGCCGTCTCTTCTACTCCAATAGCTTCATACCTCGCACCTCTCGCCTGTGGAACACCCTTCCCAATTACTGTTTCCCTGGGAGCTATAATCTCCAACTATTCAAATGTAATGTCAATCGACATCTTCAGTTACCTTGATCTACCCACTACCCCTCTCCTCATCCTTTCTTCTATCACTCCTATCTGCTCTTGCTCCAAATCTTCTGCAACCCCCTGCATCCTAGTGGCTTCACGCCTTGCTCGGGGCGTAATGCTTAAAAAAAAAAAGAAAAAAAAAGAAAAGAAAACTGGACACCCAATTATTTTTTTATAAAATTAAATAACATTTTTTTATTTGTGATCTCGAGTGGTTAATTTATAGTAATATGAAAACAAATTTTGAAAAAAAAATGACTATTTCTGGTGTCAATGCCTCTCATAAAACTCCAGCTATATTTTTACTGAATGTATAATAAATCATTGTTTCGTGACTTGACCTCAAAACTAATGACGGAAAAGCTTATATTTCTTGTCTGGGTCGGTGAAACCCATTAGCACATATCTGTGAAAGTAAAGGTAAATATTGTTTTTAAATAAAAATAGCTTTCCTGTTTAATCGGTCAAGCTATAAGCTTGAACACCAACAACATTGGAATATGAATTACTCTAGTCGGAAAGGAAGCACAGTGGAGTAATAGACGGCAAAGAAAATGTGGTAGAGTTATGGATAGCGGCTTGGGTTGCGGAATCGGAGAGCTGAATTCGAATTCCATCCGAGAATTTGCGTAGCAATCTTGTCTCCACAAATTGCCAACTTTTATCAGATTTAATAATTTCTTTTTATATCACCATTATCATTTTCATTATCATCATCAAAACTGTTTAGATTTGAGGTCATGAATTAACATATTCTCTCATCTTCAGTGACCTTGTATACTGATTCGACAGTATTTTGCCAGATTTCTTTGTCCTCTAACGGAAATTTCCTCTGTTTTTTCTATAAATATTTAAATGGAAATTGTTTTAATGATCTCTCCTATTTCTTCGACCACCTGAATTTAAATGTGCGACTGGATTGGCTACTACCCTTCATCGTTTTACTGTGGCAATAATTTCTAATTTAATAGTATCTTTTCTCGTCCTTTTTGACTGTGGAAATCTCTTCCGGATTCTTGCTTCCCTGTCACCTACGATCTTCAAAAATTTAAATGTCTTTTCAATCGCCATCTTCGGTCTTCCTGAAATCCGTTCTTTTAGTGTCCTCACTAAAGTCTTCTCATTCTCTTTCACTCTCATTAATCCATGGCGTCTAAGTGGCATTATCATCGTGCTTGGGGCGAAATGATGAAAAAAATGTCTAAAGGCTTTCATATTTCTTCTTGATTCATATATATATATATATATATATATATATATATATATATATATATATATATATATATATATATACCGTTAGCTCATATACATTTTTTTATGGATACACTTATTTGAGTAAACGCTCTGTTTTTTGTTTTTAATTAAACAGTATTACATTTACCGGCCTGGATGCTCGAGAAATTTCGTATATATGTATACTCTGAAAGGAATTAGACCTGTATTCTATACATAACAGTGTTTCCAGTTCATGACGATATAAATATTTCATTGTATTGTAAGTTTTAAATTTGATTAAAGTCTGTAGTTCCAGCTCTTAAGAACTCAGCCATCCATCCATCTATCTATCTATCTATATCTATCTATCTATATATATATATATATATATATATATATATATATATATATATATATATCTCCACAGACTGGTTCATTGTATCACGGCTCATCAGTGTGATTAGACATCCGATCACTTCAGGCCGGTACCGAAACTCGACCGATTTGGTATATCGGAGATTCTAATCCGTAGGCCATCGGCAGATAGAAAGGCGAATTTTTGCGTATTTATTTTTCATAAAAATACCAGTCACTTAGAGAACTCAATTCGCTTGGAGAGTCTTGCATTATCATCAGTAGTAATGGCTGTTTACAAATTAGCTTTACTCCCTACAGTGCTCGATCGATTAAATTATTTTATCGGAGCTAATATCGTCATATATATATATATATATATATATATATATATATATATATATATATATATATGTGTGTGTGTGTGTGTGTGTGTGTTGCATCAAGAGTTAAAGCATAAAATAGGATGTCTGGAAACGGAATGGAAAAGAAGTGAAAAGAATACAATAAAAGTGAGTTCAAAAGTCATAGAATGCATATTTTGATGGACATGCGTATAGAATATTTTTTTTTACCAAATTTAAAGAAATACGACCAAAATATTATATTCAACATGATCAAGTTGGATTTGAATTTCTCTGCGTAGGTCAAGATCACACATTCATTATGGCAGCGGCTGGGATGAGGCAGGTTTAGATTTCTTTTCTTTTTTTACTGTTTTTTTTTTTTAATCTGGTTCTACAGAAAGAGGCTTAGGATAGCATAGACCGAATATGTGAGCAACGGTACGGTTTTAGAGAACATAGAAATAAAACGGAAATATAATTATCATCAAGGAGGGACAGTTAAAATTTCTGCGGCACGTAGTGAGAAAGGAAGTTTTGGAAAATCTGATACTCACAGGGCAGCTTGAGGGAAAGAGGGACAGAGGAAAGATATGCGTAACATACTTAATGGCCTTGTGCAAATGGAGGGTAGAACAGAGTTTGGGAAAAATAATAAAAACAGAAAACTTATTAAGAGATACAAGAGACAGGAAGATGTAGAGGGTCATGATCGTTTACGTCCCGAGGGGAAATTACACATAACAGAGGAATTGTAGTCTAATTGTCAATAACGATTGACTCACAGTTATCACCAAATCATAAATATTAAGAAAGCAAGTCTAAGAAGCATGACAGCAGAGGAAGGAGGGTTTGGAAAATCTGATACTCACAGGACAGATTGAAGGGAAGAAGGACAGAGGAAAGTAGCATGTAACATACTTGATGGGCTTGAGTAAATGGATAGTAGAACAGGGTTTGAGTGAAATAACAAAAATACAAAACTTATTAAAAGCTACAAAAGACAGGAAGATGTGGAGAGCACACAAAAGAAGGAGAACTAGAGGATCTAATTAATTCTGAATTGGTTAAGCAGAAAAGCAATATGGCTTCCGCCTCTCTAGGCCAACTAGTGATGCAATAACGATTATTGCTGAACGTGTCTATCAAGTTATTATGGTATATCTGGACGAATTTTTGAACTGATTCAAACTTATCAAATAACGTAAAAAAAGTCTTGAAGTACAAAACTGTTAGATCTTTTTGCGTTAATGCAGGCGTTTCCCAGGGCTTGAACGTACGCTTTCCCTAATTTTCATCAACGGTCATCAGTTCTCAACACGGTATCTATGCTGATAACGTAACTATTTGCTCCTGTCTTAACAGTATATCTGATCGGTTCGATAAGGTCAATTTGGCAGCTGATCTCAAAAATGACGTACAATCTGTTGTTAATTGGAGCAAGAAATGCCTTGTTAATTTCAACACCTTCAAAAAAAAAAAAACTGATTTATTTCAATCGTCTGAGTAGAACCCTTTTTGTCTCCCATCCTCATGGCTGATGCTAACATCCAATGGAATAACTCATTGCCCCTTTCCGGACTAACGTTTTCTTCTGACAAGTTGTGGAAAGATTGAATAAGTTACTAGGTCTGCTGGTAAGAAGATTAGTTCACTGCGTCGTGCTAGACAATCTTATATAATCTATCTTATATATTTACAAGGTTACTATTCGACCTTGCTTTTAATATTGCTGTCACATATGGTTTGATGTTCCCGGTATATGTTTAAAGATTATTGAAAAACATTCAAAGAAGAATCTGCAATGTTATTGGTCCTGATAACGGCTTCAATCACCTTCCACCCGCTGTAACATATTTTAAATATATAGGTAATTTTTGTGGGAGTATAGGTAAATTTCTTTTTGAATATATGCAATAGTGAATATACGTAATTTTGAATATATGTATGTTTAATTTATGGGAGTTCTTTTTGAATATACATAATTTTGAATAAATATAATTTCTGTTTGAATTTTGGTAATTACGAATATATCTTGCTTGATATATGTAATTGTTATATCTCGTGCAAGATATAATAAACAAAGTAACCCGAGCGTTGGTTTTCAATAATAGGTTTATAATCGGATGTAGGTGTGTCAAGTACAGAGACAAAGTCGGGAGTATGCTAACCTCAATAGGTGTTAACAAACGAAGACTTTTTTCGACTGTCCGCTGTGGTCGTACTTAATCGGCAACCAGTCCGTCCATTATCGTGAATGGGGAAGTTGGGTTATATCATCACAACAGTAATTTTTTATATATTCCATTTCTATTTTGATAAACTTAATTTTTAATATATTTTTATTATGTCATTCGAAGACAGTACCATTTCGCTGTGCGACTAGACATCCGAATGCCTCAAGCCAGGACCGAAACTCGACCGATTTGATGTCAGTCAGAGTTTCTACCACTAAGCCATCATCACTCGGCAGAGAGAAACTGCTAATTCTAGCGTATTGTTTTTACGAATGTAAACAACCGCCAGCCAGTCAGAGTGCTCCATTTCATTTTGCTGAAGACCTTTGCATTAGCGTAGGTCTACTATTGTTTATAGAATCCGTTTATCTTTCAACAGGGCTCAATTGAAATATATGTTCAAGAGCTTATGTCATTTACAATTTATGTAATTGTGAATATACGATTTCTTTTTAAAAATAGTTAATTTTGAATATATGTAATTTCTTTCTGAACAAATATACCGGGTGTAACAGCAAAATTGTTCATCCCACGAAATGTTTAATATCTAAAAAAAAACCTCTAATCTAATTGAATTTATTTTTTCCGGGTTTTCAGATAAGACGTTTAGCCATTTTGACACCATTTGTCATAAGAATCACTGAAAAAACCCTTTGAGTTCATTCATCTAGAAAGAGAACAGGTTAAAATCATTTTGTGTCACCCCAATATGTTTTCCCAACTTAGCAATGGTGAGAGGAAAAAGATCATTCAGTCCTTCATTAATGGTAATAACATTCATACAATGCCTTCCATATTCAAAGTACATTCAAGAATCAACAAGAGAATGGTGAATAAGTGTAAAAGAGAGGGAACAGTAGAGAGGAAATCTGGATCAGGAGGTCACAGCAGGAAGAGCTAACTACATTTTTCGTGTTCAAAGTAGAGTCCAATAGTGTTATAAAAACATCGGACAATTTCAGCAAGATATATTTAATCATTTCTATGATACAACGATTGAAACTTAATGTAACAATTGGATAATTTTTCTGTTACATGATTGGATAATTTTGCTTTTACACTCAGTATACTATTTAATTTAGTCATTATTTAATTGTGCATAATAAGTTTTTAATATTCGTAAATATTCATGTGTAATTTGTTTTAGAATATTTGCAATTTAGAATAAAAGTAATATTGAAATAATAAATACAAATATATCGAAAATTAATTCTGTCATATACGTGTAAAGTTTGAAATGTGTATTTTGTTTTCATATTTAATTTTGAAGGTACATCATTTCTTTTTAAATATAGTTAATTTTGAATATATGGCATTTATTTTTGTATATATGTAATTTTGAATATACATCCTTTATTTTGTCTACATTTAATTTACAATAAAGATAATATTGAATATATGTAATTTATTTTTGTATATATGTAATTTTAAATACATATAATCTATTTTTTATATATGCAATTTTGTATATGTGTAATATATTTTAAATATATGTCATTTATTTTCTATATATGTAATTTTAGATATATGTGATGTATTTTTGCATATATGTGATTTTGATTATATGTAATTTGCTTTTGATTTTATGTAATTTTGAATATATATAATTTGTTTTTGAATTTATGTAATTCGGAATACATGTAATTTATTTTTGTATATATGTAATTTAGAACAAAGATAATATTGAATATATGTCATTTATTTTTGTACATATGATTTAATTTTGGATATATCTAATTTATTTTTTGTATATGAAATTTTGAATATATGTCATTTATTTTTGTATTCATACAATTTTGAATATATATAATTTATTTTTGAATATATGCGATTTTTAATATATGTAATTTTCGTCTATATCTAATTTTGAATAAAGATAATATTAAATATATATAATTTACTTTTTATGTATGAAATTTCGAATATATAATTTCTTATTAAATATATGTAATTTTAAGTATATTTAATGTTTGATTCTTTGAATGTAGTTTTTAATCATTCGAATTCAATATTTGTCCCACATTCACTTCAAACTGTTTCTTTTGAGTCGGTTGCATATAAAATGGGGGGGGGATAGATTAATCACTTTTCTGTACACTGCTGTATGAATGAAATTCTATATTATTATGTTTTCTTCGATTTTCAGATGTTCCGCATAAACGTCAAGCGTGTATCTGACCGAAATTTGATGACCCAAAGGCCAGCTGTTTTATAATCATTCTATTGATTTGCATATAAAATATAATATGGCGGAACGCAGCATATCAATTAAGATTTGAGCTTCGAAAAAAAAACTACGTCCTAGAGTTTAACCATAAGTAAGCCTCCCTCTCTCTCTCTCTCTCTCTCTCTCTCTCTCTCTATATATATATATATATATATATATATATATATATATATATATATATATATATATACACACGAAGTCAGATGAAAAGGAAACGGGAATGTTGCTATGTTAACGGAGGTAAAGTATGCAGAGTGAAGCCGCTTGGCACAAATTGACCTTGAACTCTGTCACGCATGCACACTAAGTTATAACATTCTCGGTCGCTTTCGTTCTTTATAGCAGTGCTTGGAAGGAAAGTGTGTAGAGTGTTGTCGTCTGACTGCATCACAGTTTCCATCGGTGACCACAGCTTGTACAGAATTTTCTTGGGCAAGCACAGATTTTCGCAGGTTCGAAAAACACCATATTCTCCAGATCTCACCCCGTGCAATTTTTTTCCTCTTCCTCTCCCCCAAAATCAAATCCCACTCGAAATGAACGATATTTCAAGACATCGGACGATATCCAAAAGAATGCAACGAGGCAGCTGCTGACTATCCTCAAATCAGAGTTCCTGGAGTGCTTCCATCAATTGAAACTATGCTAGATAATGTGTGTGGCTTCAGAAAAAGAATACTACGAAAGAGATTAAATGAGTAATTGAGATGTGTTGTAGCTTTATTTTTATAACACTAAGTCCAATACTTTTTGGTCAGACCTCGTATGTATATATATATATATATATATATATATATATATATATATATATATATATATATATTTTGAACAATAAGAAAATTAAAAAATTAAAATCATTAGACACACTGGGTTGTAGATTAATATTCTTTCGTTTTTTTATTATTATTATTATTCCATTTAAATTCCTCGACTAGTTTCGACCGAAATGGCCATCATCGGGAGGCGAAATATTTCTGCTTGCTGTTAGCAAGGAACTACAGAAATGAATGTCTTTTGTTGGAAAAATGAACTTTTGTCTGTAGTTTTCATTTGTTTTTTATTTTTTATCTTTTTCACATGAATCTTTTAACATTCCTTGTGTTGGTCAAACAGTCTCTTTTAAGTTGTTATTTGAGATAAGAACTGGATAAGATACATTTATCCTGAATTCTCTATATATATATATATATATATATATATATATATATATATATGTATGTATGTATGTATGTATGTATGTATGTATGTATTTGCGTATTTAGGCAGCAGTCTTTCTTTCAGACACATTTCATTGAATATGACAGACAAGGTGCTTTGATTTAGTTTTTTTATACAATTTCTCATGTGATCTTATACTTTTTTCTTTTCGGACGATAAATTATATAAGAACTGTCCTAAGCACTCGGAAATCAAGAATAATAATTAGGTAATGTTGAATATTATTTCCACATTATATACATCAAATCTAGAAATGCCGTGTCTGTTATACTGAACACATTTCAACTGTAAAAGGATGAGACCTTGCCGCCAATCTAGTCATGCGTTTAAACTCATAATGTCTAGGTACCAAAGTGTAAAGCTCATCAGACTGATTAGCATGAAAAATATTTATAGAAAAGGTTTTGAGAAGCTACTAAAGCCATGATGCCAGGTCAGGCCAAATGAAATAACAGATTGTACATATATATATATATATATATATATATATATATATATATATATATATATATATATATCAAGATAGAAATGATAAAAAATTGATTAAAAGCAAAGAAACTCAAACCTTAATAGCATTTTTCCTTCATATTCTCTAACACTCAGTAACCCCTTGCGTCTTAGTGGCTATATTCTCTTCATTAGGGCGGAATGATTAAAAGAAAGTCAACGGGAATTCCTTCCACTATATTTCTCAAGAATGATTTTAAACAGAATTAAGCTGTGGAGGGAACTTAATCCTGAAATGAAATGAAATGCATAAAATTATATATAAGTGTGTGTGTTGTGTGCGTGTGGATATAGATAGATAGATAGATAGATAGATAGATAGATAGATAGATAGATAGATAGATAGATAATGAACAGACTGAAATAGATAGGTATGTAGAAACTGATATAGGAATTCTCAATTTAGTCCAGATATTTTTAATTACGCTGTTTAATAATAATATTCGAATACAGGGTTAGTACAGACGGAATAAAATTCCGAAACCAAAACCACTATTTTTTTTAAAAAAAACGCTCAATACAAAGTAGAGCAAATAATATTTATTCAAAAATTATAACATAAGCATGTTTTAATATTACTACAAAAATAGCCATTTTGTTTCAACAGAACTAGTGTCTTGTCAAGTAATGGTGTTGATCGCAAAATAAAGTTTAATAATAATAATAATAATTATTATTATTATTATATTTAGCGGAAAATGTCCTTAAACCATTTCCGACCTTACGTCTCGGGTTCTGACCCGGAAGGAAATGTGTATACAACTAGAAATCCAAAGAAATAATAAAAATAGTGATGGCACCTCATACACGTGAACCCACTAACCTTTATACTACGAAGAAATAATGTAAGATAGAAAAAGATTCCTTCAAAAAAGATGTTTTTTTTTTTGTTTAAGTTTCGAGTAGAAACTGAATACCGTTGATGTCGATTCGCAGAAGTCCAAACGAGAAACGTGCTTTCGATAAATAAGTAAATCAAATCTCACCGAGTGTACCTGCTGTCTTTGGCCACATTGGTGCTTTTAGTTTAAATGTGATTTTCATGACAGCATGACGTGCTTCTGGTTTGATTTAGGTCGATGGCATAATCTCTATTCCGTTGGACTTCTCAATTTTAAGCTGTTCTTATAATAAAATTCAAAAAAAGGAAAGCAACTCAAATATATGAACCCACTAAAATAACGCTTATTATAATATATATATATATATATATATATATATATATATATATATATATATATATATATATATATATAGCGAAACAGTCTGTCTGTGGATGACACTGTATATGCTCCTGGGAAATCCGGTTGACTTCTCGATTGAAACGAGATTTTAAAACAGCGGCTGTTAATGCATTACTCTTCAAGTACGAATTGAGCTCTCAGGGCTTGAAGCAATCGTAAGTCTAGCCACAGTGAAGAGCCGCGAAGAAGTCTGTCTGTGGATGACACTATATATATATATATATATATATATATATATATATAATTCAGAAATATGCATAATACCTTACATTGGTTGCCCCGCTCATGCTAACGCAATTTTCAAGTGCTGGTATTTTTATTTGGGAGTAACAGCGTTTTAAAATACTTCTGGTTATCGCGAGAAACTTTATTGTCGGTTTGGGTTATTATTGTCGTTAAAATATTTAATTGAATTGTACCTTTTATTTTGATTTTGAATTTAGGCCCAGATTAACGTTTAAGATTGAAAATAAGAATCGTAAATTCTAATTTAAAGAAACACTGAAGTTATGAAAAGTAATAGACGTTAGGAAATCAAGGGGGATAACTCTATTTTCTCATTAAAATCAGTAAAGTAATTATATTATTAATATTAATGTTACTAAACTAAATAAAAGTAGTGAAATCAATAATAAAATATGCTGTGATAAAATAAAATTAAAGAACTAACGCATTTTTTAACTAAAAATATCTTTTAAAATTCACCTACCTCATTTATGAAGGTTTAAAATTCACGATAGCCGGCCGAAATTAGATGACGCGTTATTTAACGACGATGATAGCAGTATTGAAAATGAATATCAGACTTTTGATAACGAAGACGACGAATTTTAAGGATTTTAAGATCTATAAAATTTTAATGGTAACTGAAGTATTTTGCTCAATTGTAATAATTGCTTGATTTTTATTTTGTTTTCTTACCTTTGGAGATTATAAAGTTTTTATAGGCTTATGTTCGTTCTTTTTTTCCTGTTACTTTTTGTTTGATTGTAATCATGGCTTGATTAACCAAAGTAATGCATCATAACTATAGCCTAGGCTGTACCATTTATAATAATTTTATTAATTACTAATTTTTTCTTGATTTGACCTGCTGAAATTGGGGTGCGTCTTATACACCCGTGCATCTTATATGCCGTCAAATACGGTAATAAAAATAACACATACCAATGAAAATTAAATAATATAAAGTAAAATAAAATAGAATGAAATAAGAGCCATATATATAGGAAAATATAAATATGTAAATAAATACATGAATAGTTAAATAATTAAATAAAAATAATACATGCAATAGTAAAAGCAAAGGTAAAAGAAAAAGTCAAAAAACAAAACAATAATAATATTTATATATTAAAAATGATAAGATAAAGGAAATAATAGATTAGCAAATATGTTAAATGCGTTACAATATAATATTAACAACAATTGTATAGTTAAGTTAAAAACAAAATCCAACCATTTCATGCCTACATAGAGTATATACATTTGAGCAGCTTGATGGAGATAGAGGTGAACAAACTGAGATAGATAGATAGATAGATAGATAATAAACAGAGATAGATAGATAGATAGATAGATAGATAGATAATAAACAGAGATAGATAGATAGATAGATGGATGGTGCGATGGGTAAATTGTCGCTACGTTGTATTTTAAATTTCGCGCATGCACGTTGTTTATTTTGGATTTTGTCGACTGCAGAATATAGTAGTTTCAATTGGCACCATGACGCAATTCACTCAACCAGAAATTTGGAAACAGCATGCTGTACTGCTTGGCATTTGCGCTGAAATCTCCAGTACGAACATTTAAGAGTGTTTGGGTGTCAGTCTGAGGGCAGAAATGATTCGGAAAGAGTTGGATAGATCTATTACGAAGGTAGGGCAGCTCGGAAAACTCACCGTGAGCGTTCTGATAAGATAACACGGAGATTAGATAACAGAGTCTAACCTTGATGATCTAGTGCTGTCCTGGATCAAGAGGATGGCTGCTGGAAGACGCTATGTCTAGCAACAGGGCTCTACACCATGCCACACAAGCAGAAGAACCAAGTGATTGTTATCAGAAAATTTCCACGGCCACATCACCCCTTACATCTGGTCACACAGACT